TGGCTTACGCGACAGGGCGCATAATAATAAGATAGGTAATAATATATAATAATAAGTAATAATGGTAAACCATGTTTAAAGTAAATTTGTAAAGGATAAAGTAAGGTAACGACAATTTTAAAAAGATAATTTGGGTAGTAACAATCATCAGATAAATAATTTGATAACGATAAATATATAACGCCAATTAAAAAGCTAAGATGTATATGTCAATTAATTAATTAATAATGGTCAATATGTATAAATAATTACTAAGGGGGTATTTCTAGTTTTACATGCATGGATAGGTGTTCAAAGGAAGCTTTTTTACCTCAAGTTACGGTGAGGAAAGGATAAAAAGCCCACGAATTTTTTCGAAGGAAGGGTTCTCATCGTAATCCATCAGTAACTTTATTGTTTTCGCTGTTGATGTCGCTTCTGCTCTCGTTGTTGCTGTTGTTGTTGCCGTTCTGTGTCGTTAGTACTGTTGTTGTTGGCGTTTATGTTCGCTCTTTTTTTAAGTCCATGTGACGTCATAACGCTGTCACCTTGGATGACTATCAGTAGGATTTATACACGTTATATAGCAATGGTCAACCAAAATGTCCGYCATGTATTTTTTTAATTCACTCTATGGGAATGACAAGGAAAAGCCAAGACCCTTTGCTAAAATAGAACTTCACCCTAATGACGTTTCTTACCTAAACTACCACAATCCTTTTCAAAATATTTTTTTACATTCAAATGTATAAAACTCCTTTGAGAGTATCAAGACAATAGTGAATAACAAAAAAGCTACCGAAAGGGATTCTGGAAGTGAAGGTATAAAACGTCATCATGCTTGAACCTTGGGGGACACTAGAGAAAAACGTTTGCGCATGCGTGCATTTTATCACGTTTTCTAAGAATTTTGAAGAGTTTGAGTGAGAAAATAAATGTTTGTTTTCTCAAAGTATACAAAACATTTCGAGAGTATACTTTTGTCAGACCAAGATACTGTATTAACAAACACAATATGAAAGAATTGGCCTTAAGTTTCAAGCATGGACACTAAGTTTTGGCATTTTGTGAAGTCCAATTACTTAGGTATGTTTGAAAGCTAAATTTACTTATGTTTTGACTAATTTACATATGGATTTAGAGCATGCGCAGACGTTTTTCACTCGTGTCCCTAGGGGTCAGAATGAAAAATAATCCCTTCTCTTGAGGATTGATTTTTTGAAATATTGTTGATATTGTTTTGACATTAGGAAGGGGTTAAGTGCAAGTTGTCTTTACCAATAATAGTGATGTCATATATAGTATACTGAGTGTGGTAAAAGCCGGTATATTTCATGGCATGAATTGAATGACAAACTTTTTATTCTTGTTTAGATGCTGGTACATGCACAGAACCTACGAGCCCTGTACATCACAGGGAATGTCAGACAAGCGATGATTGGACCATATCAAGGTAGTCAATTGTTTCTGTCTGTC